ATAGGTGAACCAAGTACGAGATACACTCAAGCAATCGAAGAGTCAAACGAGGAAGAGATGCGAATAAATCTCGATTTGCTTGAAGAAAAGAGGGAAACAGCCTTGATAAGGATGGCAACGTAGAAGCAAATTATAGAACGATAATACAATCGGAAAGCTCATCATAGGTACTTCAAGATTGGGGACTTCGTACTCAAAAAAGTTTTTCAATCAACGAAAGCAGCAAATGCAGGAAAGTTAAGCCCAAATTGGGAAGGACCTTACAAGATTCGAGGTATTGCAGGAAATGGTGCATATGAGTTAGAAACAATGGACGACAAAGTACTCCCGTCAAATTGGAATGCTATTCATTTGAAGAAGTATTACTTCTGAAAGAGAAAACTCCCGGTCAGGTATCGTTAATGCAAGGTTTAAATTTATTTAATTTAAATTGTACTAACCATTTTAGATGATAGGCACAAAGCTAGCCCACACCAAATGATGATTTTAGACCTAAAAGACACGCGGGATGCAAAATTATCCCCGGTCAGGGTTACAACCTTTCTGATGGAAATAAAAAGGGTTAAGCAGTCATCATCTAAAATTATACCTCCGAGTCCCGTATGTTTTTCCTTTTCAGGAAATGAACCGCATGTAAGGAATAATCAAGTGCTCGAGATTTCATACTTCAAAGCTCTAACACTTGGGGGACTATATATATATGGAAGGCGAAGAAGACCAGAAAAGTCAGAATTCAAGTCAAGCCTAAAGCAATCTACCCAACAAATTGAAAGTTAAGAGCGAGCAAATCAAGAGCCAAAAATTCAAGCCTGATTCAAAAACCTATGATGAAGTATACACTCGAAGATGTAAATTACAAAATCTTATGAGTATCTAGGTTAAAGGCAATATTTAGTTGAGGGTTGCAAGATATACCCTCGAATCTTGTAAAAATCTATTATAAAGAAAACAGTTATGAAAGAGTTGTAGATGTTATTCGAATACATGTAAAGTATAAAATTTGAAAGTTCAAGAATACTTCTTCAAGTTATTCTAAGAAATATGTATGTGCCTACTTCTTCTTTCGTATGTTTAGACCAATATGAAGTTGAGACACCTTCTTCTTTAAGTGTCGAATATAAAAGTGCCCTCTTTTATAATTCGTGCTTATTCAAAACAGTCACGAAGCACCGAAGCATTTTTTAATGTAAAGTTAAATAACAAAGGGTAAAACAAAAACCCAAACATTAAAATAGGCAGAAAATAAATCCAAAAACTTATAAATATAAGTCAAACATTTGTCTTCAAAACCCGAAATAAGGCAAGGGTAAAAAGATAAGAGAGTAGAATAGAAACTCAAAATAAAGGTATTATAGGAGTTAGACAAAAACTCAGTAATATTATAAACTTGGTTAAAACTAAGTATAGAACTTAGTTCCAACCTAATTACTTGATATTAAAACCCCAAAACAGTCTAGGGGTAAAAAATTTCAAACATGACTAAACCCCCAAATAGGACCAAGGGTAAACTTCCAATCACTCCACCAATAAAATAAAAAAAATGAAACAACTTTTCAAACTTTCACTGTGGGGCAGAATCTGAACCAGTAGGATGAAGAATGGTATCATCAATGGCAGGAGGAACAACTTGAGCAGAAGGAGATTGAACAGCATCTTCACCAGGAGTAACTTCATCCTTCGGGAATATCGACCGCAGGTGAAGAAAAACTCTGACTCTGTTGGGTTTTCTCAATAGTTTATCTTTGCAATCTCAGCAGCTAAGTCAAAGCCTTCCCGGCTTGCCTCCGTTAAAGTATCGAGGCATGTGTTCAAGAAGGCCCAACTAACTTCAACAGCGGCCTTATCTTCGAGGGCTTCATAATCTCTTTCCCATTGCTCAATCTCACTTCTAAGCTCTTCCTTCTCATTCAAGGCAACGTCATAAGAAGCATGTAAGGGGGCAAGAGAACTCTCTAAAAATTGAACTCTGTTAGAAGATACTCAGAGATCTTCTTGGGCTTGAGTAAGTGTTTGAACGAGCTCCCCGGCGTAAACTTCTTTCTGGTTCAGTAGTTTCTTCAGACCACTAATTTCTTCAGTGGCCTTAGAAAGTTTCTCAACAAATGAAGACTCGAGAAGGTTTTTATCTTTGCCTGCCTGATTAGATGAGGCTTTCTCAACTACCAATTCAGCTGCCATTACTTTCGCTTGCTGCTCCAAGGTACACTTTTCTTCCTCCAAGACTTCTTTCTCAAGTTGAAGATTATCGAACTGCTCCTTCCATTTGTCTGCCTCGATATGATAATCGTTCATTAGCTGCTTTGTGTGGATGGTCCTCTTCGTCATCTCCATACCAATGAGGTTGATCTACACAATGAAAAGGAAAATATGATATCAATGAAAAGGAAGTCACGTGCGAAATAAAAAGCTAAGGCGTATACCTTAAAAGATGAATGTACGATATCATTCATCCATGTTAAAGAACTGTGGCTCTCCAATTTTGACTTCTCAACTGGGCCAATCAATGGTTTCAGCCATACATCAGCTTGGCCGGATTTTTTCAGAAGATTACCGTCCTCAGGAACCTTGATGGTAACTTTTTCATTACCCTACTAGAGGAACCAACTTCAGCATGATAAGTTGTAACAATAGGGAGAGTCGAGGGAGTCAAAATAGCCACGGGCGGAGCAGTAGCAGTAGCAATAGGTGCGGGGAACTGAGGGTCAACTGAAACAGTCAGGGAAAAAAAGCAAGAGGCATTTCCTTGGAAACAAAGCTGAAGTCTTCATCAAACCCACCAGAAAAGAGCTGTTCAGTAGAGCTACGGGGTGCAGCAGACATCTCGTCATCAGAACTTACTGAGGTAAGGCTCGTGCATGGGAGCGGAAATAGAAGGAGGAGTAGCTTCGTCATCTTAAATGATATGTCTCCTAGCTCGAGACCTACGAACCAACGAGCTCTCTTCCCGCTCCTCTTCACTCTCGGAACTATGTGCTCTATTAGCTTTTCCTTTTAACGAAGAACTCAAGATTATCTCTTGAGCCATCGACAGAGAGAGTCTCGAAGCAGTAATCGATGCGGCACTCACACCCCGAATGGGAAACCCTAGCAAAGAAAAGGGTTAATAAGTGAGAAAGTAAGTATAAAAGCAAGGAAGAAAGGGAAGAGAGAGATACCATGGGTCTTTACTTTCCATCCAAACCTGTTAGAAAGGTATTTCCAGGACCTTTCTTCTATAGGAGCAACGGTTAATAATTTTTCTACCCAACCACAGAAATCTGCGACTTCCTCAACAGCTTCCATGGTTGCTAAAAAAGAAAAATAAAATGGCTATGAGGTTGAAGGTTTTTCACAAAAAGAAGAGGAATAGAAAATATGAAAAGACTTATGTGCAAAGTTCCACTTCTCTGGGAAGGCCATGTTCACTTCTCCCACTAACCCACTTGTGGGAGGAGCAATGAATCGAGCATACCAACCACGATCCTTGTCATCTTCAGGGCTCACTAAAACCCTCTTACTCCTGGCCACAAGGGTAAACACCCCAGAACGAAATAACTTGGGGGAGTAAAGATGAATCAGATGATAAAAGGTGAAGGGTAGAGAAGCCAAGTTTGACAAGTATCTAAGGCATGACACGGCCCTCCACACTATAGGACCAATCTGTCCTAAACAAGCGTTGAAGAAACGACAAAACTCTATGATGAGTGGGTCAATAGGTGGTGTAAAACCCAATGTAAAGGGATATGTATACACAAAAGAATAACCAGCTTTGAACGAGGTGATCCTCTGATTTGCATTAGGAACTATAATTGGGTAGTCATGTTTCCAGTAACAATCTCTCCTCACAAGGGAAATCAAACCCTCAGTAATCTGGGAAGGATAAACATCAAGCATGATCATGAGAAGTCATGAAAGTGACTTGATTTCTAATCAATTCTCTATCAGTAAAAAAGGAAAGTTCAACGGGAATAATCTCATCAACAGTGGGTTCACGAAGTGGTTCACTAGAATCTCTACTTCTAACAGAAGATCTATGTGAAGAAGAAGCCCTAGTTCTAGAAGACGACGGGGTAGTGATACTGGGTTGAGAAGAAGAACCACGGATAGAAAGAGATCCTAAACTACGTAACCTTCCACTTCTTCTACTTCTAGTAGAAGCAGACGAAGGGGGAAGTTCATCCACTATAACAACTTTGTGGGGATCAGGATTTGAAGAAGCCATAATTCTGTGAAAGTAAAACGTGATGAAGAATGAAAACTATAAAGAACAAGGAACACTGTAGAAAGTTTTTCGTAAAAGCAAAGGCAAAGGAGGTATTAATATAAAGAAGCAACCGTCATGTAAAAGGGGTCATGAAGGAAACATCATGATCAAACAGTCACTTCATGACTGATGCAGCCACAAAAAAGCCCTAAAAATCGCTGAAGCATCGCAGACCCAATTAACGGAGGCCACGTGGCACATGCATTAAATGGAAGTGACATACGACGCGTTGGTTCTGGAGAAGACGTAATGGTACATGGAAAACGGCGGCAAAAATTCCCGCCATAAATACAAAACACTTCCCAAATATTTAATTGCAGAATATTCGGCAAGTGAGGGACTATCTGTATTGGTAAAAATAAATATTACACGTGGATTTATATGAGTGATTGATATGACAAGACACGTGGATCAGTAAGAAAGCGACAGCTGGAAAGATGCATTAAAAGAGGCTCGTAATAGATACGAGCAAATCACCCACGAGAAGAGAAGATAAGGTCACTCAAGTTTAAACGGTTACCTAAAAAGGTACCAACGGAATTTCCTTTCTTATCAAGTGAATTTAAAATTTCTTGATTATCAGTAGCCCGAATACTTCTTAAAATAGGATACCGAATTACTCAATTTTTGTCTATCCAAATGAAAGGACCCAATAAGAGACAACATCTTTCCATAACAGTTTAAGGGGAAAAAATGAAAGGACTGCATTTGATAAAGAGAATTCACTAGATATTGTAGGGAGCCATAATTGACCAACTAAGTGGGAATAATTAGTTCTAATTATGTCAAATAATAAACAACTTTTTCTTAATTTCAAAAAGACAAATGAATATGAGTCTTAGGTGTCTTAAATACAGGCCAAAAAAACAGGTCTATGTTAGTGGAAAATCATGTAAGAAACACAAAAATTGTGCTTAGTATAGTAGTAATAATGGAGCAACTGTGTACACACTAAAAGAGATCTGTACAATCACATTTCTCATTCTATCCATCTTCTCTATAATCATTAATAAGTATTTGTACATATTCTCAAATTTCAGCTGACTCTTTTCTCTTTCTTCTCCACTGTTAGAAGCAATTCTTATTGGGTTAGTTTCTCTCCATTTCTTAACTTATATGGGTTCTTGTTGTTTTTGTGTTTTATATGTGGGGTTTGGTGCATTAAGCTTAAAGCTCTAAATTTTTGACTTGGGTTGAAAAATGAATCAAGAATTCATTTTTATTGCTTTTCTCAGCTATTTCTTGAGCTATCTTTCATATACATGTATATATGTATGTGGGTTTTAATTGGTGTGTATAAGTTGTGTGTTTTTATGTGGATTTTGATGCATTAAGCTAGAAGCTTTAATTTTTGACTTGGGTTTCTTGAGTTATCTATAAATACATGTATATATGTATATGGGTTTTTATGGGTGTGTGTTGGTTGTATGTTTTTTTTTTTTTTTTTTGGATTTTTGATGCATTAAGCTTGAAGCTTTGATTTTTGACTTGGGTTGACCTATATGACTTCAGGTAGTGTAGAATTTCTTTGGTTGATTCAGTTGAAAAAAGGAAGCTTTTTGGTGGGGCAGAATTGGTTGCTTTGCAGAGGAAGTTTGTGTTTTGAATTGCTGCTAAAGGTGCTTCCTTTTGTTGATTCTGAACCTTATTGCTATTTTCTTGATTTGTAACGGAGCTTAACTAAAATGTATATGGTGTTGCCTTATTTTGGAATAAAATTGACCTGAATAGAGTGGAATGGAAATAGAGGATTCATATATCCGACTCCAACTAGTTTATGATTGAGATGTTGTTGAATAATTGATATTCTAGTTTCTGTTGCATATATTAGGAAGCATTTGGAGGTTTGAAAGTGAAATGTTAATGAGTGACAATTTTGTTGCACTTCTTTAAAGCTTGTCTATTTCTTTCTATTCTTAGTTTCGATAGCTCTGATATCTTCTAAGAAGCAGAATACACTTGAATTGACCATCTGGTTCTTTCAGCCAAATGCAGATCTTGAAGCAGCAAAAAGTGTGATTTGCCGGGGTGTGCTTCAAACTCGAAGCTAATATTAGTGTGATGGGCTGTGAATGTTCTAAATTTGCCTCGTGTTGCTGGACAGGACAGAGTGGCCCCATTCACGAGGCTCAAAATCCTGGTATATATATCTTTTATTATAAGCTTTTCTATAGAACTTTCCTCCTGCAGTGTTTAATGTACTTGTTACTTTTTTTATTCTGGTTTCATGCTTCAAATAGATGAAGAAAAAGATGAAGTTAGTGATTCGCCTGCATTCCGTGAGTTTACGTTTGAGCAACTCAGGATAGCTACTTCTGCATTTGCTGTAGAGAATATAGTTTCGGAACATGGTGAAAAAGCTCCAAATGTTGTATATAAAGGAAAGCTGGAGAACCAGAGGCCGGTTGCCGTTAAACGCTTCAACAGATCTGCGTGGCCTGATTCCCGGCAGTTTTTAGTAAGTATTTGGCTGGCATTGTTCCAGTTCCGAAAATTATTAGTTCCTCCTTATATTATGTACCTGATGCATCAACAGCAAAATGGAAACAGAGAAATGAATGCATGCCATAAGCTCTGCTTTTTTAGTGCTCGCACTCTTTTGAATGTGTTTGTAGCCTGTAGTTAACTTGTGTTTCATCTGCTGACAAATGCTTAACTTAGTTAAGCTATAGATTCGAACTTGATTGTCTCTCTTCATATGGGAAATTTCAGGAAGAAGCAAGGGCCGTCGGTCAACTCCGCAACAATAGGTTAGCAAATCTTCTTGGCTGTTGCTGCGAGGGTGATGAGAGGTTGCTAGTTGCAGACTTCATTCCCAATGAGACACTTGCAAAGCATCTTTTTCATTGTAAGTTCGTCCACACAGATACTTTTGTTTCCCTACCTCAGGAATGGTTCACTCTGGTTGTGGGGGGGGGGGGGGGGGGGGGAGGAAGTGAAACAAATTGTGTACTGATAATATGTTTTATTTATGTAACTGTTGAATACTACATTTGCTGAACTAATTTTATCGAAGGGATTTTTGGCTTAACTGATAACTTCAAGCGGGATGAGACTGCACCTAGATTTTCTTTTTCAATTCTAGCCAGACAATAAGAGCAGATCCAATCTGTGATCTTGTTCTGAAATTCCCAAACAAAGCCTTCGGTTCATGCACTGTTCCATTTTAGAGAATGGCTTCCTGTTTCCTTTTTGTGGTTATCCCTGTTAGTATCCATCTTAGAGAATGACTTCCCATTTGCACGCAAGGGTGTGGTCTAGTGGTCAATGAATGGGAGGAGAACGTGAGGTCTCAGGTTCAAACCCAGCGCATGCAAAAAATACTAGGTGAGCCTTAGTGGGCACAATTATCTGGTACCTGTGTTGGGAGGTAGCAGGTACCCGGTGGAATAGTCGAGATGCGCACAAGCTGCCTGGACACCACCGTCAAAAAATAGAAGAAGAAGAAGAAGAAGAAGAAGAAGGACTTCCCATTTCTTTTGCTTTATAAAAGAGTTACTCTTTGGTTTCTAATTTTGTTCTCAGGTATATTTGCTTAAATTCTTAAGTGAGATTGAGTTTGCTTGCTAGCATGTCCATACATGGAGTTCATTATACAGTCTACAAGAATCATCCCTTTTCTTGTTTAACCGTAAATTCAAATGCTCACAGACCAATTCACTGCCACTGCTAGTCTGCTACTGCTGTTGCTTTCTCTTTCCACTAGGATTAGTTTAAGAAGAGAGAGTGGGAAGCAATGACTATGATAATGAAGTCAAAGAAACAGATGAGATTAATCAGTTTGGAAAAGTTAGACTTGGTACCTTTCCTTTTCTTTTCTATATATATATTTTTTCTTTTTCGCATGGTTAGTAACTGTGAAGAATTTGAAAAGTAGAACCTGACCATGAGCTTTTCCAAACTTCTCCTAGAGAGAACTTACGGGAAATGGAAAATGAGATTGGATGAGATGGGATACCTATTTGCTTTAATTGCTTTAAGGAAGATTGGAAAGTCATGAATTTCCTTCAAAAGATAACATGTTCTTCGATAATGTTCGGTCGACTCATCTGTGAGAGTTTTAACTCAGGGGATACACAACCAATGAAGTGGGCAATGCGGTTAAGGGTGGCCCTGTATATTGCACAGGCTCTTGAATATTGTACAGGCAAAGGGCGTGCTCTTTATCATGATCTTAATGCTTATAGAATTTTATTCGATGAAGTAAGTTGATAGTTATATCTTCATTTTTTTTTTATTGTTTATTAGTATTGCTAAATTTCACAATTCAAGTACTCAAATGCCTATTATGGTCTCCTCCATATATTTCACAGGATGGTGATCCCCGACTCTCTTGTTTTGGTTTGATGAAGAACAGCCGAGATGGAAAAAGTTACAGCACGAACTTGGCATTTACTCCTCCTGAATATCTGAGAACAGGTAAGAGCTACCTTAATAAACAAACGCGGCCATTTTGAAGTGACAATGCTCTTTCATATCTAATGATTCACACACTAACCAACCACAGCCAGCTGAGCTTCTTGATGTTCTTCTTTTGTAACACTTTAGTTGTTAACACTTTTCTATTTACAAGATTAAAGGGAATGTTTTCTATGAGTTACTTTCAGTTATTAAAAACAAAAGGATCCACTTTGACCATTATGGCGTTCGTGTATAGGATTTTGTTGCAATACATTCAGTGTGGAGGGTTCATTGAATTCATGGTGTTAATTACATTTATCCTTTCTTGAATTATTGAACTTGTTATAGTTCGTTCACTCAGTTATTTTGAACTTTTGTAGGAAGAATCACCCCGGAGAGTGTGATATTTAGCTTCGGGACACTTTTGCTTGACCTTATCAGTGGAAAACACATCCCTCCTAGCCATGTATGGTTCTCCTGCTAAATTGATTTATTTATTTCTTATTTAAGTGACCCCTACAACCATATTGCTCACACTTTATCGTGACGAGAAAACATGACGATAAGTGTTCTACAAAATCTTGGCAAAATTGTTAAAATCGGACATAAAATTTTAAAAGGGCTGGGGTGGCTTCCTCTCTTACTTAAGATGTGTACTGAAACCGAAGATATTGTGATTTATATTTTTCCAGAGTTTACATGAAATATATCAAATAATTACTTAGGATGAAAGATGGTTATCAAAATACAGGCATTCATGAATTAACACAATTCTTTCCGGTGCTCTTGTTCCTTCTAATATGTATCTGCTTATGTCAGGCACTGGATCTCATAAAAGACCGGAATCTTGAGATGCTAACTGATTCTTGCTTGGAAGGTCAATTTTCTACAGATGACGGAACTGAATTGGTACGGATTGCTTCAAGATGTCTACAATACGAGCCTCGTGAGCGGCCGAATCTCAAGTCATTAGTTGCTGCATTATATCTTCTTCAAAAAGAAGCTGAGGTTTGTGCCCAGGCATTATTCTTCCAGCAATATCTTTTCTCTAAATACTGCTATGATACAGTAGTTATCCAAAATTAGTGAAAGCAATAACTAAAATTTGGTGAGAAGCATCTAGGTTACATTTATTTTCCATAAACTTGATTTCACTTATCTTCATCGGCTGATAGTAAGATGCCATAAATCATCTATTACATGACAAATATAGCTGGATTGAAGTTTTAGTAAATTGTTTTCTAGGTTCCCTCTCATGTATTGATGGGTATATCACGTGATGGTGAAACTATGTCTCTATCTCCACTTGGTGAAGCTTGTTTGAAAACCGACTTGACTGCCATCCATGAGATTTTAGACACGCTTGGGTACAAAGATGATGAGGGAGCCGCTACTGAGGTTTGTCTATCAATTATTATTCTTGGAACTGATGTTCTGGTCTTGTATATGCTTGTTCTCTGAACTTCTATAACTTGTTCCTGTTCTATAGAATTAATGCCGTCTTCTTAATATTGAACAAAATACCCAAGTTAAAGATTCCCGAGGCTTTCATTGCATTGAACATGATAACATAAACCCATCGCTACGTGTTCGGCCGAACCCAGTAGCTTTGGTTCAAGCCCCAAATTTATCTTAAAAAATCCATTAAATATTTATAAATTATTACAATTTAGAATCCAGTAACTTAAAAGGATTAGAATCCCGGACTAATAGGCTTCAAAACCTGGCTCCGTCTCTGTATAAACCTTATTGTGTGGTTTTTGGTCATGCACGCAATTCATGTGTTTCAACTTATTGGTTATTCATATTGTGATCATATCCAAGCTTGTATGTTTTTGAAAGCAAATTATTAGCATCTCATGATAATCGCACTTTTTTTCTTGCTTGCAGCTTTCATTTCAGATGTGGACAGATCAGATGCTGGAAACATTGAACTCAAAGAAAAAGGGTGATGCTGCTTTCAAGAACAAAGATTTTAGAGCTGCCATTGAATGCTATACGAAGGTTGGAAATCCGCCATAATGTTTACGCTACATCATGCCATATAATGTGGATTATCTGTTTTTTAACTTATATCTTTATTTAATTACTTTGGGTTGCTCTTGCAGTTTATTGATGTTGGAACCATGGTCTCACCAACTGTATACGCTCATCGAAGTCTGTCTTATCTCATGAGTGACATGCCACAAGAAGCCCTCAACGACGCAGTACAAGCACAGGTAATATCTCCTGTTTGGCATATCGCATCGTATTTGCAAGCTGCTTCTCTTTTCACATTGGGTAGGGAAAACGAGGCACTAGTCGCACTTAGAGAGGCTGCCATACTCGAAGAAGAGAAGAACACCGCTTCTTGAAATTGGTAAGTGGAGCTTGTATGTATGATCATTACATTTTAGATTGGTCCGTTATTTACGTGACACATAAATCACAAAAGTATCTTTTTTTCAGCAGAAATCTAGAGACACTGTCGATCTTTCGCCTACATGCATGCAACAACAACCAACAACAACATACCCAGTATATTCCCACAAGTGGGGTCTGGGGAGGGTAGTATGTACGACCCCCTACATGCATGCAATGGTTAGTAAGTTGTGTCATAGTTATAGAGAATTCTTTTGCAATAATTCAATGCCATTGGTTCCTAAAGATACAAGATCTATGGAAAAAAGATGGAGAGAGACTACAGACTAGCATGTTGTAATTTATGTACAGTGATATATGGTTGCTCCACTGAGTTTTTCTTTCTTTTTTCTCTTGTTTTCTTCCCTCTTGGAGGTACAGATTTTCTACATGTAATTTCTGTCTAATGTTTTTATTGTGAGGTTAATTTTGCTGTACTTATTTTAAGTATTTGCAACTGATACAACTTGTAGAATATTGTTTTAATGTTGTATCCTTTTCTCAAGAATCTTGCAGTTTTAATGCTTGTGCCATGGTATATAGATTGGGATTATAGGCTATAGCTCACACTTGAGATGATTTTTTTTTCCTTCTGGTTTTTAATTTTTGGAGTCGAGGATGTATCGGAAACAACTTCTCTATCCCTCGGGGTAGGGGTAACGTCTGCGTACACACTACCTTCCCATACACCACTAGTGGGATTTCACTGGTCGTCGTTGTTGTTGTACCTAGATTATATTTTCTTGTTCAAATTATGGAAAGAAAGAGATGAAACGTGAATTAAGGGATTTGAAGCATTCTTTGCCACGGTTGTACACATTTCTTATTCGTTTTAATAAATATATTACTACTAATTTTTATTATTGGAGTATAGTATTCACCTACATAAATTTAGGAGAACTGCTAATAAACGATTGACATCACATATTCATATGTCGGAAATCGTTTCAAAAAGCAAAATTTGTCATGGAATTGCATTAAATAGAGAGCATTTTATCCCCTAGAATTAAACTTCTCGGTGCGAATCTAATATAATCGGGTGTCAAAACAGATAATTAAGCATCGGGCATGAAACCAACAAAAGTACACTTTGCTTGAAAGGCTGATCATAAAAAGAAAAAATTAACCGAAATAGCTGCCTACCCAACTGCTTAACTGAAAATAATAGATATATATAAATATATATAACCGTATATAATATGTAAATATTGGCTAGAAAATTAAATAGTAAATTCGATCGGCTATTTATGTAAAGATACTTTAATGAAATAGTAACCGTATATATATATATATATATATATATATATATATATATATATATATATATATATATATATATATATATATATATATATTTAGTAGGAATTTTTACCTCTTGTAGCAAAGGTTGATACCTTATTTATTTTAAATAAATACCCTTTTAAAAAAATTATATTCTATAGCTACCTTTTGATTTTTATAGCCAAATATCTATTTATGCTCACCTCCTACCCTTAAGTCATAAAATAGGCTTTGTATTATTTTTCTTTCATTCTTTTAGATTTTTCTCCACTCTCTCTCAACGCTAATCTTTCTCCGTGAATTATGAATTCATAAGGAAAAGGCTTTTCTTTGATTTTTCAAGGTTAAAAATCAAACAAAAAGGGAGATTTTCTTGAATTGTGAAAAACACAGAGGAAGTGAAAGTGAAGTGAGGCGGCATGTGAAGAGTTTTCATAGGATTATAACTGAAGAGAGATAAACACGAAGAGGTGGCATTCAACCATAGATAGATACTATGTCTATGTTGTATGATTTGTACATCACATACACACAAAACCCAATTGAAACAAACAGACCAACAACTAGAAAAGGTTGGCAGATATTTGGTAAGGGCTTATTGCGAATCGAATCAAAGCTAAGGGCTCACAAAAGCTACGATGGTACTGCCAGATGTGTTAGAAGCAATGTACAGGATGTGTGGGAATAGTGAGATTCAGGATTTTTGCTCGACGGCGGATTCGCCGGAAATTAGGGTTTGTTCTTGAACAAAGACGACGGATTTTGGGGCTGAGAAACTTGATTTTCTGTTAATATGTTTCAATGTATTTTCAACGTATCACGCTGTCATGTATTTTATTGTATTCATTGTCTTTTTTTTCATTGTAATTCAATGTATCTCATTGTATTCCATGTATTTCATAGTATTCACTGTCTTTTTTCTCATTGTATTTCAATGTATCCCGCTGTATTCTATGTATTTCATTGTATTCACTGTCTCGCTATATGCCATGAATGTATTCATATGTTTTTTTAATTAATATAATTTATGTATTCAGATGTATTATATAATTTCTTTGAAGATTGTTATATTTTTGGGGTATTTTTCGGTTGAGAATCTTTTTTATAACTGAAAATACAAAATTTGTGTGTTATTGAGTTTGTTGAGTTATATTAGGAGTCTATTATGTTAATTGATTCACTTTCCGTTTTAAAAATAGTGTAATCCCCTATTTCACGCCGTGAATACAGTCGAATACAATAATCTGTCCAGCTGTAATCCCATGTTTCACTCCATGAATACAGTCGAATACACTCGAATACAACAATTGATTAGCTGGACTTCCTTGATACACGCCTATTTTTGCTACTGTATTCATGAATACAATAGCTTAAATACATCAAATACATCTTATAACCGCAGAAAAAGTATCTATAATCCGTAATATAGCAAATGGTATCTATAGATGGCTAATTACTACTAAAAGATAGTGCTTTATAAAAATTTCTCTATATTGTACTATTATTTTGAGAGCGACTATACAGTGTCATTTTTTAGAAAAACGTCTGTGGAGCGGGCCAGCCCAAATGACAGACAGGCTGATCCGGGTCGGGTCCCGCCTTTTAGGCCGACTGGAATCCCCATTCCCTTTGTTCAGCTACTCCAAAATAAAGACTTGAGAAACACCAAACGGAAACCCACTGAGCAGAAAAATCGAAAAACTTCGGCGGCGATTCCATTGGAACGAGAGGGAGAGAGACGCTTGATTTAGCAGTAGTATATCAGATACAGAGAGAGGGAGAGACAGAATGGTGTATATAACGTCGTGGGATGATTTTGTGGAGAGATCCGTACAGTTATTTCGCGCTGATCCCGAGAAAGTAATATTCTGATTTCCACTGCTCAGGCTTTATATCCTTTATTTTGTTATTTTTAATCATGTATAAAGTTGATTGATAGTAGTAAGTAAACCTGGTGTTTTTTTTGTAGACTCGCTATGTGATGAAATACAGACATTCTGAAGGTAAATTGGTTCTCAAGGTCACTGATGATAACGAGGTAAATATTCCTTTTTTTAAGCTACGATTTTGCTATTTTTGTTCATAGCTTGTGCATACAATGGATGCTGAATTGAATCTCAATTATTTCTACTACTGCAGTTTCTATCTTTGCATTGCAATCTAGTGCTAATGTTTGGGTTCCTTTTGTTGTTTTTCTCTCTTGAATCCTATTTGTGTGTAAAAGCTACAATCCTGCACGAGATTGGCTGTATAATGATGTTCGTGTTTTTCTAAAGAAGCACAAATTAGCTTGTCTTAAGTTTTGATGATCGAAATCAACTTGTTTCATGCTTGTGGAATGGAATTGATGCAATTGAAGGTGCTCTTTGTCACATTGACACTCATGATGTAATAATGAATTGAGCAAGCATACATATGTTCCTTTTGTGCCTAGTGAAGATGGTCATCTTTGGGGAAGGCTCCGATAAACTGTTTGGTTGCATAAACTTGATGAGGCTCATATTTTATATTCGAATTTCGATCAAGAGAGAGATCAAATAAGACATGCTTGTCTTGAGGAAAAGTCCTACAATTATTTGGAGAGCTATTGCTCCCAAGGATAAGAATCCTTGTTAAAATAAACTTAAATGGTTAACTTTAGCAGTTAAGTTTAAGTAAAAATCTGAAATGTCAGGCAAGGTCCTTTACAATCTTATCCACTATAGAATTATCTATGTGAATGAATTATTTAGTTTTTGAAGGCTACTTTTATAATAACAGAGTAGATATTAATTGTAATTACAATTTTATCCAACTTGGAATGCACTTACAGAGGGTCAAAAAGTCGCTCAACTTTTTGCATTGGTGCTTCGTGCTTTTAATAATGCATATTATTATAAAGTCGATCATACTTGATGTCATACTTTAGGGTTATTATCTCGGATGTTAAAGTTCGTATAGCTGTAACATTGACAAGATAGAGAATCAATGTCGGGAAGGAGTTAAAATGACAGAATGAGATGAGAACACTGCTTAATTGGGAAGTAAATGGAAATGAATTCCTTCTAAACAACGGATTACGAAAAATAAATGATTAAGTAGGATGTTTAAAGATAATCTTTTCTTTCCTTTATGACCAAGCATTGTGGAACGAGCTAGTTTAACTAACACCTAAGTAAGAACACAATTTTATGCAATGACGTCAACAATTACACAGCGCTTTGAGAAAAGCTATTATGGTCTAAAAAGTGAAGTCATTTGCTATCCCTGGAGATTAGTTTCGTTTGGCAGACTGAAATTTTAGAGTATCAAGGACAGACTAAGCCAAAACTTTATACCCAGATAATATTTTTTACTGTTCTTAAAAATGGATAGTATCATTTGCAGACCACATTCCGTTTTATTTACAGTAACATGGACCTTTCTCTTTCTTCTTTTTAAAGCTTATCATATACATGCTTTTGTTTGGATGTTTGAAGTTGATTCTTTTGGTCAAAAGGCCATAAGGGAAATTCTGAAAGTTGTAGCAAGTACAAGAAAGGAAAAGTTTAACTTCTTTAGGCGGGGAGAAGGGAAGGGGGAGTACGTGTGGAGTCGAAGGGTAGGGACAGACCGGGAGATCTGTTTTTTCAGGTGACCTATGAATTACCTTTTGCTCCGTTGGATTACCAGGGAATGACTTCTAAGCTTATTTCTGTGAAGCTTACCAGGAGAGGGTGCATATATGGCCTAGCAAAATCTTTTGTAGTATTTGCATCTTCGTAATGCCGTCAGTGATTTCACTTATCAACAAAAAAATGGCCTACCAAAATTTTTTTGTTCTCAAATCACAACTTTAGAATTGCCCAAATATTTTGCTGGAAATCTCTTCTATGCTTAATATATCTGCATAAACTTCAGCAGAGGGCACATTAAGATCTTTGCTACTGTACCTGCCATGCTTTTCCTTTCTCTCTCATATTCTGGTATGGTTCAACTCTTACTATGATTCTTTTTTTTAATAACCGAGAAATCCGTTGTTTCCAGCTTAGAAACTCGATGGATAATGGGTCCCTCCCTTTACCCTTCTCCACTTGAATATCAAGCTTAGTTCACAGCAGGATTCGAACTAGTGACATGAGCCTACCACATATCCCGCACTGTGCAACCTTTGCCATTGTGTCAAAGAGCTGGGTGTCCTCATTGTCCTTCTTCCCTCTTCGTTTTTTTTTTTACTTTTCTCTTATTATCTAGCTTTTGGTTAACCTTATTTCTTTTAGTTATCTATGTTTGATTAGAACATACCTCTGCTTTTGGCAACTTACTTGGGTGACTGAACATTCTGTCAGAAGCTTTAATGATTACCCAAATTCTAAAGTTATATAAGTACATCTCATGGAAAATTATGGAGAATAATCCTAAAATAGATGTGTGCCATTTTGGTTTGAAATGTATTAGTTGGCTTATAAAATTCTGATAGCAAAGTGGTCATTGATCAGAGAGTTAACTGAAAATTTAAAATGCTGCTATGATTCTAATACATGGAGGACACGTACATAGGCACTTGGTCCTGTACCAGAGATTTGGCTAAGAATTTAGGAACTTCTATCTAGTACACCGGAATCACTGCATCTCTCAGATATTCTCATCTTTCATAGGATACAAATAGTGATGGCCTGGACTTGGAAGTTTCGGGTGGAGATAGTGCGGAGCCAGGAATTTTAACAAAGGAGATTCAAACAAATGCAATATCTAGAAACCTCCCTTATGTTTAACAAGATTCAACAGTTCATTTACACTCAAAAAGATTTGTTTTGTATAATTTTAGAACGAAGAGGATTCAATTGAATCCCCTTCCTTACCTTTAGCTCGTTAGGTGGAGATGTCTCACATTGCTGTTTCTTTCGTGGTGTTGGATAAAGTTGTTATTCTGTCTTTGCATTACAATTTAGTGCAAATGTTTGTGCTCCTTTTGTTGTTGTGTTCTCTCATGAATGAAAAGAGGGATATTTGCAGCTCCTTTATGTTATATACATATTACCCTTTTATGCATTTGGTATCTCATAAATGTATCCCATGCTTGGTAGAAGCTAGTCAAGGAATTTTCCATATGGGTTGCCTTGTTCTAATTGTTTGTATTTTTTAAATTTTCTTGCTAGTGTATCAAGTTTAGAACTGACCAAGCCCAGGATGCCAAGAAGATGGAGAAACTTAACAACATTTTTTTCACCTTGATGGCTCGTGGTCCAGATGGTATTTACACTATCAAACTTTCCTCTCACGTACCTTGCTTGTATTGTACAAGTAACATTCAATGATAATCTGACCTTAAATCTTGTTGAGTCCGTCTTCTTGATACTTGCCTAGCTGCACGCATCAATGATAATCTGATCTTAAACCTTGTTTGTATTGTACAAGTAATTTTCAATGATAATCTGATCTTAAATCTTGTTGAGTCCGTCTTCTTGATACTTGCATTAAGTTCTATTTTTGGGCGTATGAATTCGTGAGCAGTTCTATTTGATACTTGCATAGTTGCATCTCACCATCATCCCATCATTGTAACGCTCTGCATTTTCTTTTTAACTGCAGCTGATATATCAGAAGTGGGTGGCAAAGAACAAATGGAGGCACAGGCACCTAAGAAGGGGAGAGGAAGGAAACAATAATTTTTTGAGGATTGGTTTTTTGCAATACTTATTGCTGAAGATATTTTTGAAGCCTGCAAGGAATTTTTTCCCAACGTTTTGTATTATTAGTGGAACAGATCTCTTTGCTTCTGAAGATAGTCCTTTTCCTGGTTGGTTTCTCTATATAATTTGCAACCTCTGGCCTCGTAGTTTCTTTCCTTCTGCAGAGTTAAAACTTCGGAACAATTAACTCGAGTAGACAAATGTTATCCAACTAGTCTTGTTTTTGCAGATGTGATGATACCCTAATTCTAAAATTAGAAGTACCTTTCGTAGGAAAGTAGCTGAATGCTTTTTGTCAGCATATTTATGTTTTCTTTTCAAATTTATATCCTTTATAAATTTGAAAAGTTACTGGTTAAGTTGTTGCCATGTGACCTGGAGGTTACAGGTTCAAGCCGTGAAAACAGCCTCTTGCAAAAATGCAAGGTAAGCATGCGTACAATAGATCCCTGTTGTCCGGTCCTTTTCCAGACTCGCAAATAGCGGAAGGTTAGTGCATCGGGCTGCCTTTTTATCTCTTTGGTTGTGGCGATTTTCTTTCTGAGAACTGAGAGAAAACGGTCTTGAATGACGATACGAAAAATGCTCCTAGAAAATTAGAATGCCTGATATGTTTGGCAACATTTTGAGGAATAAATAGTTTGGATCAAATTCTGTATATGTGAAAAATTGCTAAATAAATATAAATAACAATTTTGACAACAGTATGAGGAAAAAATAGTTTGGATCAAATTCTGTATATGTGAAAAATTGCTAAATAAATATAAATAATAATTTTGGACACAGTATGTCCAGTGATTGTGATAGAATTTTGAATTTAAATCTATAATGTTCAAATTTTAGATTTGCCTCTAATTAAGAACTACTACAAACTTTTTCCAGTTTACTTAAAAAAGAAAGTAAAAAGCAAAAGGAATATTTCAAAAGTCCTGAGAATTTATTCAATTTTATAATTTTTAAATTCCTTTTCTCTCTTTGTTCCTGGTCACAGCATTTCTTTTTCAGGGTGGGGGACCTTCAATATGATTTAACACAACCAATAAAGTGTAATTTATTCTGCATAAAATATTGGGGTTACTGAAAGAGGGCATTAAATGATTAAAAGCCAACAAGATTCTCTTGAGAAAAGCAATGGCCTAAGGCTGCGTCAACTTTAAATAATGACAAAAAGCTGCTGATATCGATTACTTAAAATGAAACAACTATTCCATCAGTTCACTTTTAGTTCTCAAATATTTTAAAATTAAATTTTTATTTTTACTTGTCACTTTAAAAATAATTTATTTTTTCTATTTTGCCATTACCATTAATTATACAATCTAAATCATTTTCCAAATTCATTAAGACTTTACACCAATTAATATGGGTATCACAATAAATTATGTATTTTATTTATTATTTTTTAAGGGGCGTGAAAAGTCCAAAGTGGACAACTAAAAGTGAACGGAGGAGTAGAAATTCTTATCCTTTTTGGAAGTCAATATTGTCACCTAAATTCTTTATTGTTTACCTTAACTTACTTGTACAGAGTACGTGGGTAATAAGTATTAATTTAAATTCTATTTTGTGCATATATATATCCTAAAATATATTAAACTTAAATACATTTCTTCTTGATGTGTAAGTACACCTTCATTTTTACGTACCTACGCATGTATTTGAAACGTACTTGCATTGGATACCTACTGTATTTGGTTGGCATTGTTTTCACAAATTAAAATTGGAATAAGAAAAAGAACTGAGAGAATAAAAGTTCATTACGGACTTTCCTCTTGAAGTCATGGGAGAAAAATGCATACGAACGCCATGATGTGAATAAAAGTTCGGTACGCTAAACTTTCGCTAACATGGACGAAGCTACATTCCCTTAAGGGTGGTCAATTGACCATCCTTCGCCGAAATTTACATTATATATATAGGTAAAATATTATTTTATAGGTATATAACATACATTGAACACCCTTTATTGGAATTTTTTTTTCACTTAGTTCAAGTTTGAACACCCTTGAAAAAATTTCCGGCTTCGCCATTGTTCGCTATGCACGGGGTTTGAAGAAGGGTCGGATTATAAAGATCTATTGTACACAACTTTATCCTATACTTTTACAAAAAATTGTTTCCGCAGCTCGAACCCGTGAACTCCTAATCACATGGCAACAACTTTACCAGTTATATCAAAATTTAGGGGTGTTCGTGGTTCGGTTCGGATCGATTTTTCTCTAAAAAGAAACCAAACCAAGTAAGTCGGTTTTTCAAATATTAGAACCAAACCAAACCAATTAAGTCGATTTTTTCTTGATTCGATTTATGTCGGGTTTTGTTGAGTTTTCGGTTTTTTTCGGTTATTTGTCTGTTTTTTCTTAAATATAAGACATACTACTAAACACATATTATATTCTGGCGACCATATTTTCAACGTAACACTATCAAATCAATTGCCATTTGAGAAATCTATTATTTACCAAGATATATTGATGATAATTGAATCAAATAGTGATGAATAATTAAGCACTCAATTAAAAATATATTATTTTTAACGCGAAATTGATTCTTACACTTAACAAAAGAAAACTACCAATCAAACTGGAATGTAAAGGTAAAGAACTATACTAAAAGTGCAAACTAACATTTACCATTAAATTTTTGAAACTTTGTATAAAAATACACACACACACACATATAGGTGTAATAATAAATTTGAAATAACTACTCCTATAGTTGGTTTGGTTCGATTTTTTTATTAAAACCAAAACCAAACCAAATTTGATCTGTTTTTAAAATTTAAAACCAAAACCAAACCAGACCAAAAAGTATCGGGTTTTTTTGGTCAATTTGGTTTGGTTTTCGGTTTGGTTCGATTTTTCGGGTTTTTATGAACACCCCTGCCAAAATTCCCCTTTAATGCCACGATGTGAATAACAAATTAAACCACCAAAAATTTTGGTAATGAGGTAAGTACCATTCTATCCTTAATCACGAGTTCGAGCCTTAAATAATTTTGTTCAAAAGGTCCTTCTATTCTCATGACCAAATAGAATCGCTTTTGGTAAAAAGTGCTTCACTTTAGGTGGACTTTCGACACAAATCATAATGGGATATTATTACTTTTATTTCCCGTCAGAATGAAATATAGCTCTTGCTAAAAATCATTTATATTGATAGCCAAAAAAATATATAAAATTTATATATATATATATATATATAAATTTTATATATTATTTGATTATTATTACCGCGACTATATAGTGTCCGTTTTCTTAGTGAGGTTCCAAAGCGAATAGCGCTTATGGAAACTAAAAAAGACAAAATTAAATAACGTCCATTTTCCAATTCATTTAATCTGTTTCCTTCGTTGTAATTTCCTAAAAGAGAAAAGATATAATTTTATTTCCTATTTTGTCCTTATCTGTCTTTCGATCGTAATCACCATCATATTACAACACAAACATGACTCATCTTATATTTATGGCGTTCTCTGACTTTTGTCTATCACCCTCTATCGACTCATTTTCTCAATATTTTCTTATTATTAACTGAAAATTATAATTAATATTACGTATATTTTGTACTAAGAATTTAAATTGTACATTATATCCTGCTCTTACCATGTCGATTTGTATTCGCCGGATAATCACCGGCGAATTGCCGTCGCCGGTGAGCCGTCGTGTTCCGGCAACAAAACTTCCAGCTCGGTCACCGGTTCATCATGTTAACTTTAATCACCGGCCGGCAATCATCAGCAGATCAACGACGACGAGATTTTACGTAATTGAGGCAGCGGAATTTGCCGATGTATTCCGCCGTGGCGGCGGAGGAGGCGGGAATGAGAAGTGGAGGAGGTTGTGTGCGGTGGGAGATCAGGTGGTGGAGATTAATGATAGCCGGGAAAGTAGTGATCGGACGGCGGAGATAATGGTTGCAGCGACAGCTACGGTGGTGCTAGGTGTAGGGAATCGGGTGCTTTACAAGCTGGCTTTAGTTCCTTTGAAGAAGTATCCTTTCTTCCTGGCTCAGCTCGCCACTTTCGGGTACTTTTTCTTTTCTCATAGAAAAAGAAATTATGAATATTTCTACTCCATCTATCTCATTTTAAAATTAGAGCTCAAAGTTAAAATGTTAAATATCTAAATATTGAAAGAGTTTAAGTTTTAAGTATTAAAAAATAAAATAAAAATATTTACATTATCGGATCATTTAAAAGATAATTGCAAAATAAATATTTTCAATTAACATTAACTAGGTAGTAAGCTATAGTAAGTTAAAGCACATTAATGATATTATTATTTTTATATAATTAGTGTATAAAACTTTAATTCATATAAAAGTATGTCTTTGTTTTTTAAGATATAGTAAAAAGAGAAGTGTGTCAAAATGGGACCGAGAAATTACAAAGTTTCCTATGGGTAGTATTGCTTATCAATTTTTGGAAATTAAAATGAGGGTTAGAGTAATTGATTTTTGTGCTAATTTCTGGAAATTACAAAGACAATGCTCTGTTTGTTGATTAATACGGTCAAAGATACACCTTAAAATGAAAGAAAATCAAAATTAAAAATTTAATTAAACCATAAGGTGAAAATAGAAAATATATCTGACAAGTTACATTCAATAAAATACATAATGTTAGTTCGAGAAGTTTTATTGTGTGTCTCATACAACTTACATTAGTTGTGTGAGGCTTTTTTTTGTCTCGCAAATTTGTGAACCCAATCTTACACTTGTGGGTCCACAAAAATCTAGGTCCACAAAACTGTGAGACAAAAAAATACCTCATACAACTGGTTGTATGAGACATAAAATAAAATTTTTCTGTTAGTTCACATTCCGCTTTCCCAGGATCAAATTAATTGAATTTTGACTAATATTCGGAATTTATCGTTTTTTATTTATTTTGGTACTAGAAAAAGTTTGTAACTTTTTCTTTTTTGTAGATTAAGAATATGTAGATTTTACATGTTATGTTACCCATTCGAGAAGTTCATATCATCTCATGGAAGTTTCCTAGTATGTTGTATAAATTTGTTTTTCTTAGCAATTGGCAATGTAAATCCATTTTGTAATGTGTGCCGTTATCCGGAAAACAAAAATTTCTTTCCAAAGAAAGAAAACGAAAAGTTGTAAAATCATGTCTCGTGAGAAAATTCGAAGATCACGTGACAGGTGCTGACTGATGTCTCTCGACAAGATGGTAAGGGTAGTAAAGTCATTTTGACTTGTTACCTTTTTATATCAGCCAGTCCTTGTCAAAGTGGGTACC